GATCATAAACCGGTAAAGCCCCGGTGGCATTGTTTGCAGGTTGATACGTGTTTGTTTATTGTTTCTATCCAAAGGCCAGCTACCGGCTTTTTTTCCTTCCATATTATACAGGCTTGCAACCGCTGCACTGGGGGCATCGCGTTCTATCAACAGGGCTGCATCAACCGGGTTGGGCCATATCCTGACCGCAGGAGCGGGGATCTCACCGATGGCCGAAGATTGAGGTCGTGCATACGTCAGCAAGGTAGCCAGCGAGAGCTTGGTGATCATTGTGAAGTAGGGGAGATTCAGGTTGCCCAATGTATCGTTGACGGTATGCCAGTTGGGGTTCATATCATGGGCATAATCTTCATTAATAGCAATGGCCGGCTGATTGGCATTCCAGAAGGAAGTGGCATCCATAGCGCTGCTGCCGGGACTGATTATGTTGAGGCGCAGGCCAATGTTATAGTCCTGGTTTATAGTCACGGCCTTAGCCGCCCATTGCGGCGACTGGCGCACATTACGTACATGGATTTCGGCGGTGCTGTCCCTGTTGCCATCCCAGGCGATCATGTCCATATTGATGCTGCCCATCAATTCGCGCCCGCTACCGGGTATGGTGGTAACGTAAGCCCTGCTGCCCTGGGAGCCCAGTTCCTCCTCGTCCCAGAAGGCAAAAACAACAGTATAGGCCATCGGGGTAGTGGCACAGATGCGCAGGCATTCCAATACTGCGGCCACGCCACTGGCATTATCATCAGCACCTTGTGCTACGGGCGATCCTACATTGTCGTAATGAGCACCGATGAGGATGAACTTAGTGCTGTCCATCGTGCCCTTGATCGTAGCAAACAGGTTTTTGCCGCGGGTGCCAAACACAAGTGAATCAACAGGGACCCCATATTGTTGCAGCCTTGATTTCAGATAAGCAAACGCCAGCTCATTGCCCGGCATATCGTAGCTGCGGGAGAAGATCGTGTCCTGGCGTCCGTTCACCACTACCGGAAGCGTACCACAGATATGACGGGTATTGTTCAGCAACGAGTCTGTAGCTACCCGGTTGATCATAGCTGCAATAACCGGGTCGGGCTGCGCCAGCGCCCCGGGCGCCATGATGGCTAAAACCAGTAATAGCAGGATTGTTCTCATGGACGTTCTTTAAAATGCAGCACTGTTCTTAAGATGCGCCGCCGCGCGGACGCAGGTTATGTACAACGAAAATAACGTAATATCGGTTATGCTATGGAAAGCGCCTTCGTTTCGCCATTCCTATATTGTTGGTGTTGAAGTATGGGAGAGTGTGTAGCCCACCAACACTATAAGGCGAAACTTGAATCATGATAGGCAACCTGATTCTGGCATATCAGCACGGCGGTATAAATAAGGTAAACCTGCCGTCTATTTTCCTGGTTCTGTGCCGGTGCAAATTATTAATGGAAAAATAATGCTGTAGAATAATGGCTTTCAGGGTCTTGAGACTCTGCCGGTTAGCTGTTGCCGGTTGATATTCCAACCGCTTTCTATTGAGAAGGGCATTTGGATATGGTAGAAAAAACACCTTGGTTTGCCGCAAGTCATTATCCTATGAAAGCTGGTTGCATTACTGATGAATTACTTTTTCAAGATATCAGGGGTGGGGATGTGTATGCATTTGAAGTACTTTTCAACCGTTACTATAAAAAGCTCTGCCGTCATGGCCGTACGGTTATAGACAGTTGGGAAGTTGCCGAAGAAATTGTGGTTGATGTGATGCTCCGTCTCTGGACCAACCGGGAGAAGATCATCATTACCACAGGCATTGAACAATACCTGTTCCGCTCGGTACATAACAGCGCCTTAAACCATATGCGGGATAGCAGCCGACGGGAAGTGGATGTCGTGTATGTGGCTGAGTTTACCGATGATCTTGCAGAAGAAGACAAAACCTTTGTAAAGATATTTGACAAGGGCAATGACGGATCTATCTATGAGAAATTTGACAGCATGATCGCCCAGCTGCCTGTGCGCAACCAGCAGGTAATGAACTTCCGGAAAGAAGGGCTGTCGTATAAAGACATCGCCGGGAAAATGAACCTGTCGGAAAAAAAGGTGCGCAACCTGGCGGAAAGAACGATTCAAAAACTAAGAGATAAATTCAGGGCTTTCCAGCAAAGCCGTTATACCTGATCGTCAGTTGCCATGCAGGCTCGTGCACACTGTACACTTGTTCTACTCCTGAACAGCCTGTTCCGGGGTTTTTATTTTTCGAAATAGAGAGCCCTTGTCG